GGGGGGGGCAGGCACAGTGAGGGGGCGGGGGACCTGGGGCTCAGGCGGGAGGTGTGGCCTCACCTGGCATCCACGGCGCTCTCCACGGTCAGAGGGGTGAAGATCTTCTCTCGCATTGTCTCCTGCGGGGGATGCAGCCCCTGAGTGACAGCGGGTTGGCCACCACCTCCAGAAAGTCCCCAGAGGACTGGGGGTGGGGGGCGTGGGGAGGGGAGCCGGGGAGATGGTGTGACTTGTCTCAGGCACGAAGTCAGCCAGGGGCGGGACAGACACCCTCGTCCCCCCTTCTGCCTGGCTTGCTGGTGGGACGAGGGCTGCCGGTCTGAGGGGGAGACAGAGGCAGAAGCAGACACAATGGTGACATCAGCCTGGGGAGGGGGGAGGGCAGGGGTGTGGGAGATACTGGCCCAGCCAGGGGTCAGGGACGGCTCCCTGGAGCAGAGGGTACCTGTGTGGGGCTTGAGGATCAGTAGGCGTGAAAAAGGGAACAGCATTCCAGGCAGAGGAAACAACCTATGCAAAGGCCCGGAGACTGGTGCCAAATGCCTTTGGGGTCTGAGGTTTACCCACCTCTGGGCCAGACCCAGAAGATGGACAGGTTGGGGAGGTGGGGGAGAGGGGCAGGGGGCCCACACAGGACGGGGCACAAAGCAGCTCCATCCAGGGCTGGCAGGAGGCTTCGAGAGCATACCCCGCACCCAGGGACTCACGGTCACTTTGAAGGTGATGGCCTTCTGCAGGCCCTCGGGGGAGACCTGCAGCAGCTCGGCCACGGCCTGGATCTCCCGGGCACTCACCACTGAGGCAACCTCCTGTGCGTCTGTCTGCAAAACACACACAGGAGTGCATTTGGAGCTAAATAAACTTTTTATATGAGTTCCTATAAAAAAACAGAAACAAGCGAGAACAGCCAGGAAAATTCTCAAACAGAAGAGCAGTACAGGGGTCCCTGGAGATGATAAAACATAAAGTTAGAATAATTAAAACACTGTGGGGACAGACACATAGTTCGTAAACAGATCAACGAAGCACGATAAAAAAGTCAGGAATTAGACACAAACGTACACAGGAATTCTCAGTACGGGATAAATACGTATTTCTCAAGTTGGGAGACTGAATCACTATCTAAACAAAAAAAACAAGATCCCTACCTTGTACCTTACTAGAATAAATTCCTGATGAACCAGAGACTTAAATGTTAAAAAAATAATCACAGAAACCATAGAAGATCTTCAAACAACTATAGGTTCAGGCTTTTATAATTTTAGAGAGTTAGATCTCTAAAATGATAAAAAGTCTAAAATTTCTATAAGACTTGATAAATGAAATACCTGAAACTAATTTTTTAAATCTGCAGAGCAAAAAACCCCACCAAAAACCGAAACAGCAAAAAACCCTTGTAAACAATCAAAATGTAAATGATAAACCAGAAAATATATTTGCAATTCATCCTAGAGACAAAGGTCTGAATCCCTTAACGTGTATAAAAAGCTCTCATACGTCAATTAGGAAAAGATGAACAACCCCAAAGTGGAGAAAAAGACCAAATGATCTGTGCTTCTGGCTGTGAGCCGGCGGTATTGCAGCCACAGTTCTTCAGCCTCCAGAGGACTCCCATGTCCCGAGGGAGTGGGCCGTGCGGCCGTGGTGTCCCCTTACCTCATACTTCTCAAAGTACACGTTGCCCAGGTGCAGGATGGAGGCCAGGATGCGGAAGATGCTGTCCTGGTCCTCGGCGCTGAAGCCCAGCACCTCCATGGCGGCCAGCAGCCGGCGGAAGTCGTCCGCGTCACTCTTCCCGGAGATCTCACAGTTCCCACCCTGGGCGAGGGCAGGGCAGGGGTCGGGGACCCTGGCTGGGGGCCAGGAGCCCTCAAGGTCCCTGCTCTGCCCCGGTCTGCAGCGTGGCCGGATATCCCAGTTCTCCTTCCACTCCCGAGGGCCGGAGGCTCCGAGCGGGCACCGCACACCAGGCCCTGTGCTGAGGGTTTCGTGTACATTTCCCTCTTCTAATCCTCACACACCCCTGCAAAGCGGGACCGTGCTGTCCCCATTTTACAGACGACGAAAGTGAGGCTCTGGAAGGAAGTGTAGTCGCTCCAGGCCACTTAGTTCTATTCTAGGCTCCAGAAAAACAAAGAATCAGGTCGGCTTCCCCTACCCTGGCCTTGGACCCCAAAGACACCTGTCCCCCTTGCCACGGTGAGACATCGCCAAGTCCAAACTCACCCTCCCAAACCTCCATCACCTTCGCTGGCCATCAGGACGCCACAACTTGGCTCTCTCGGCCCACGCGGAGTGATGGGGGGAGGGGACCAGGCCAAGGGCCCTCAGACACCTGCTGGCTCTCACCTGGTTCAAGTAGTAGTAGGTCTCGGCCTCCTGCAGGCTGAAGGCCTGCCGGAGCTGGGCGGGCAGCCCAGCCAGCAGCTCATAGAAGATGTGGTAGTTCCTCTCGTTTTTGGCCTGTGGAGTGGGTTGGAGGCTGCAGAGGGGGGAGCCGCCGACCTAGGTGACCCCCGGACACACATACAAGCCCAGCTATGCCCACAGATACAAGTACACACACGGGCCTCAGGTGAGACCGGTGCCCCTGTGACGAGTGAGCCCCAGCCTGGCACTGGCGGGGGGTTGGGGGGACCCTGGTGTGGTGGTGGGGCGGGGCTTTCGGCAGGATTTAACTCTGCTTGGAGAAATGAGAGAAAGGTGGCCCTTTTCACATGTGTACCAGCTATACAAGCCTCTGCACACGTGTGTCCACGGACCAGACGTGTACTCGCACGGCCAGCCAGGGTGGTGGGCACAGACTGTGGCCAGGCCTCAAGCCAGGCCCTTGGGACACAAAGGGGAACACGGCAGACAGAAGCCCCTGGCCTCGTGGGAGCCCACCTGCTGGCCAGGGGAGACAGACCCTCAGCAGAGCACCCGTGAGTGGCAAGAAGCGCTCTGCAGAGAAACAACGCAGCCAAGGGGGTGGGCAGTGATGGGGGGCGGGAGGGGGCTGCATTTCTTCACCGGGGCCGCTTCCCTGGGGCGTGACCTTCAGCGAAGACTTGGAGGAGGTGAGGGGTTCGGCCACGCAGCTGTCTGCGGGAAGAGTGCTCCGGATAGAAGGAACAGGCGCTGCGAAGGCCTTGTGGCAGGATGGGGCCAGGTGTGCCTCAGGGCCAAGGACGGGGCACGGGGGAGGGGAGGAGGTGCCGCCACAGGCACACGCGCGCCCGCACACGCACATACACGCGCGCACAGCCCGAGCCTCGTCCATCAGCTCGGCCAGGTGCCAGGCTCAGAGGGTCTGCACGCCCCACACCCGACCCCATCCTGACACACCTGAAACACGATCCTGGATTTCTCGAGCAGGTACTGCGAGGTTATGGCACCAGAAATCACGCTCCTGGGGAGGGAGCAGAGTCAGCTACGCTGGGCACCGTGCACGCAAGGCCCCGGGGGGCGGGGGGGGGGTGGTGGGGCTCCACCGCGGCCACTCACCCTTCCAGAAAGATCTCCACAAACTTCCCAAAGCGGCTGGAGTTGTCATTCCTGACAGTTTTGGCGTTACCGAAGGACTCCAGGAGGGGCGTGGCCTCCAGGATCTTATTGGGGAAATGGGGAAAACCAGTAGCAGAAAACTCTGGGCTCAAGCCTGGGGCTAATAAAATTCTTTTGAAACTCGTCTTAAGTATACATGACTTAAAATAGGTAACAATATAAAACTTAGTTCAAAAACGACTCTTTTAAAAGATATATATTGTGAGCATGCAGTAATTTGGTAAATGAAAGAAAAGTTTATCTTAAAGGAAAAATATACTTGACCCGGAGGGAGTGGCCGAGCCCTCCGGGCCCGCAGGCAGGCAGGAGAGCCGCCAGCTGAGAGCAGACCCAGAGCCTCAGAGCCCCAGGTGTCTGGGCTCGGGGACCGTGGCGTGGCCCGAGGTGGGGGGTCTGCTGGGCCTTCCTGCCAAAGGGCTCTGGGGGTGTTCTTGCCCCCCTCCCCAGCCACCACCGGCCGTGAGCCACCCAGCCTCCTGGAAAGGCCTACCTGCCCCGCCTGGCTCCCTCCAGGGGTCCTCTGCAACCCTCGGGAGGTCCCGTCCCCCACCCCCGGCTCCCACCCCTCGGGCTCCAGGCCCTGCACAGCCCAGCCCCATCTCCTGTCCCCTCCCCACTCTGCCCAGCACTGCAGTCCCCTGACTGTGCCCGCGCCAGCCTCTGGGCACTGGCGCTCTGCCTCCCTGCAGCCCTCAGCCCTTCGTATGTCCATGTCTCTCGCTAGAGCGTCAGCCCAACAGGCAGGACTCTGTGCGCACACGCCTGGTGTTCAGCACCCACACAGGACCTGGCAGTAGGAGGCTCTCAACAAACACCTGCTGGGGGGGGGGGACCTCCCTGGTGGGCCAGGGTTTAATCCCTGGTCAGGGAGCTAAGATCCCACCGGCCTCATGGCACAGTCACAAAAAAAAAAAAAAAGGAGAAAAAAGAAACTTCCCTGGGGGTCCAGTGGTTGGACTCCATGCTTCCACTGCAGGGGGTGCGGGTTCCATCCCTGGCTGGGGAACTAAGATCCCCACGTGCTGCACTATGCGGCCAAAACAAAAAAAAAAAAAAAAAAATCTGCTAAATGGATGAAATGGGGGATAGCATTTTACGACAGCAGAGCCCAGGGTGTTGTAGCTAATCACAGCACCCACTTATTAAGCACCTACTGCATGCCAGACCTTTTGCCCCAATTAACAGCACCGTTAACAATCCTACGAGGTAGGTGCTAATATCGCCCTTGCTTACAGATCAGGAAACTGAGGCTGGGAGAGGTGAGGCAGCGTGCACGGGACTCCAGGGTCGGAAAGAGCGAGGGCCCACAGCACCACAGCCCATGCTCAGTGCTGTAAGCAGTGCTTTCTCTGGCTGCATCATTTCCTCAGGATAAACTCTTAGAGGAGAAATAGGGGGCCCGGTGTGCACAGAAATGATACACGTTACCTTGGGGACGGCGCCAGGTCCCCCCACCTGCTCACCCACAGTGTCGCTCAGTCCCAGAAATACTGTGCCCACCGTACAGAGGAGTGGACTAAAGCCCAGAGAGGCACAGGGGCCAGCCTGGGGGTGCTTAGGGAGTCAGGGTCCGCCTGTCCCTTAGTCTGGGTGCCCCTTGTGGGCACCTGGGGGTGGGTTCTCTCCTCTAGTGCCCAGCACAGGGCAGGGCACATGGCCAGGGGTGGGAATATCTGGCCCCGTGGGGCCGTCCAGCCCAACCCACAGGTGCGCCGGTGCCTGTGCCCCGGGCTGAGCAGCATTCAGCCACCCCGAGCCCCTACCCCAGGGAACCCTTGTCTCGTTCCCAGCCCAGAGGTGGAGCCTGTGGCCCAGACCTCGGCTGATCAAGGCACGCCTGGGTCCAGTGAGGACGCATGGCCAAAACCATTCCAACAAGAGGGAGCCCTGAGACTTCCTGGCCCGGTAGGCAGTGTGGGCCGTGGTGCTGTGGCATCATCGTGCTGACCACGGGAGAGAGATGAGGACGATGTCCAAACGTGCGGGAGGGTGGAGCCGAGACAAGGGACGTTGTCTAAGACCCTGGACCCAGCCTTGCCTGAAACTGACCCTAGACCCAGACCGTCCGATTGCAGAAGCGGGCTCAACAGCGGCCAGGAGGTGAGTCCACAGTCACCCCAGCCAGCAGGCACATCTTCACAGCTCCTCTCTGCCCGGCCAACCCCTCAGACCCAGCCACGTCCCGCGCCTCCGCCATCCTCCCCGACCCCTGCCAAGACAGCCCCCCGCCATGAATCTCAGACCCCAGCCCCTCCACCCCGTCACTCTGGGACACTGGACAAGTCACTGCCCTCCCAGGCCTCAGTTTTCCAGCTCCCAGGGCTGCCGCAAGGCTCTGGCGCTGACAGAGCGAAAGGTTCCCCGCACACAGCGGGTGCCTGACACACACGGCTGCCTGCCTACGCAGCCAGTCCTCCCAGGAGTCTACTCTTCGAGGCTTGACCCCCGGCCTGGAGCAAAGGGATGATCTGGTTGGCCTCCAGGAGACCCAGGCTGGGATGAGAGGGGCTGGCAGGCCAAGGTCGGTATCAGAAGTGGCCTGCCAGGAGGTGACCTCTCCTGACCACAAAGCCTGGGCTGACCCCCCTCCTCACCGAGGGCCCAGCAGCCCCTGCCCAGTGCCCCCAGATCACCTGCAGAGGTCGCCACCAGCTAGGACACTGTGGCCACTGCAAACCTCTGGAGGGGTGGGCCAGAGCTTGAGCTTCACGTTCCGGAGTCTGAGCTGGCGGGCCTCGGCCTCTGCCCCACCTCCCCTGAGCTCCAGGCTCCTGGCACATCTACCGTCTCCCACCACCTGTGCGTGGATGCCCCGCAAAGCCTCAAGAGCACCAGCATCCTCTCTCCATATCCTGCCCCTCAGCTGCTGGCTGCTCCTGTGACTCAGGCCGGATGCCTGGGGCCAGCTTGGGCGTCCCCTCTTACAGCCCCGTCTGGTCCCTCACCAAGTCCTGGAACCGCACCCAGGCCAGCTGTGCTCAGCAACCCCACTGTCACCTCTCTGGTTCGAGCCACCATCCTCCCTCGCCTGGACCACATGCTGCCCCTCTGCCGACCCAGCACACCACACCTGCTGGACCCCAGGGCCTTTGCACCTGCTCTTCCCCAGATGTCTGCAGGCCCCACTGCCTTGCCTTCTCAGCAGGACCTGCCCTGACCCCCACGCCTGAAATCGCAATCCCCAACATGCCCCATCCTCCCCCCTACGCTTCCCTACAACTTACCCCTTTTTTCACACACACAGAGGTTACCTGCCTGCTTTTTTCCTTTCTGTTTCCCACACTAGAACAAAACTCCCACAAGATGGGAACATTTATCAGACTGTGCTCCTGCTGCCTGCTCCCCAGAGCCTAGCCTGGGCCTGGCACACAGCAGGTCCTCGGGAAACCGTTACGGAGGTTCTGACGTTCTTGGGTTCAGAGAGCTCAGCTCTCTAGGCAAAGCTCCAATGCTGCAGACCCCAGCCAGGCCTTCTCAGTGCCCCAGCCTCTCCTGACCCTACACTGGCCATCACACACGTTCGGGCCTGTCCTGCCTCTTTCACGACCATGAATGTGAGGCCAGGCGGGAGGAGTGGACGACGCCCCCTGCCCATGTGGCCTCTGCTGGGGCCGCCCCAGGGGGCTGGAACGCAGAGCTGCAGGGGAAGGCAAGCAGGAGAGAACTCCCGGGAGGGGAGGCAGCAAGAGCGCCAAGTCCTCCGAGGCCTCTCTGTGTAGCCCGGGGCTCGGCCGCCCATCCGCCAAGTGGGGCCACAGAGCCTTGCCTCTCGAGGAGCACGAGGGGCGCTGGGCTGAGGGTCCTGGGGGGACAGACGCACCTGCCGTGTGACGCCCCGTTTCTGGTTCATGGCCGCCAGGTAGCGCAGAATGAGCTTCGTGGCCTCAGTTTTTCCAGAGCCGCTCTCTCCACTGACCGGGCAGAGGGGCAGAGTGAGCTCCAGCCTGTTCACGGCCTCTCCTGGGCGCTCTCCTGACCCCACCGTGACACAGGAAGACACGGGCAGGCAGGCCGGCCGCCAGCCCCTCCGCTGCTCACCTGATGATTATGCACTGGTTCTGTTTGGCATCGAGCATTTTGGCGAAGGCGAGATTTGCAATTGCAAAGAGGTGCCTGGAGAGACAGGCCACAGGCGTTCCTGGGCCAGGCCCTGCTGGGGCTCCCAAACCTCCCAGGGGATGGGCAGGGGGACATCTCTGCCTAGCCGAGCAGCCAATCCTGCCGTACCCCATCCTCGGGGAATGCTCCCCACAAGGCTCCCCACCCAGGTCTGAGCCACAGTGGCCTCCAGCCCCCAGGGGGCTGTGGCCAGGCTCAGGGAGAGGCTGCTGGGCTCCCCACCGCCACCCACCACCCACGGCTGAGGGGCAACCAGGGATTTGCCAAGCTCAGACAGGAACCCAGGAGACCCCGGGGAGGCCCCTCCCCCAGCCCGACTTGCCAAGCTCAGACAGACAGGAACCCAGGAGACCCCGGGGGGGGGCCCCTCCCCCAGCCCTGGAGACACTCACGGGGAATTCTCGGCCAGGGCCCGCCCTCTGTACTGCTGCACCTGCTCCAGCCCGTAGATCCCAAACATCCGGTACGGGTTCACCGACACCAGGATGCTGCCGATGTACGTCTGCCGGGCAGACGGTGGCCTCAGGGCCCGTCTGTGTCCCTCCCTCCCCCATTCCTGGGAGCCGGGATCCCTGTTTCATGGGGACAGACGTCTGGCTGCCTGGCCCTGGTGTCTGCACCCTGGGCCCCCAGACAGCTTGATGGGTCGTGCGCTCCGGTTGTGGAGTGTCAGGCACTGAACCAGGCTGAGGCTGGGAGGAGGGTGGAGCACACAGCGCCCCACAGCCACGATCCCACAACGGTGCCTGCTTCCTTCATTCATAGTTGGGGCCCGCCCCCTGACCGTCTCCCCCCGGGCCCCAGGTGTATGGCTCCCATGACTCTGGAAGCTTTACCCATCAGGTCCCTGGTGGGGGTCACACACTTCTGGGTTCCCTGTCTCCAGGCCTCTAAGACTCTATGTTTTAGGACTTTGGATTATAGCGCTCCCGGCTCTCGAATGCTGTGCTCAAATAGTAGAAACTCCAGGGTTCAAACCACATGCCACAAGTCTGGGGCGAGCAGGAGAAATCCACGCTTCCCACTGCAGCCCCAGGAGGCAGCTGCCCCCAGACCCAAGCCCAGGGGGGTCAGCCCCAGGCCTTACGTAGATGAGGTTCCGTTCAAATCTGGTCTTAAGGTTGGCCAGCACAGTGGTCTCCTGGAGGTCTCTGCGAGGAGATGGAGAGAGGCAGTCAGGGCCCACCTTCCCCTCAGGGTAGGGCCTTGGTCAGAAAAGCCTGCGTTCAAGTCCCGTCTCTGACACCAACCAACTGTGAGGCCTTGAGCAAGTTACTTAACCTCTCTGTGCCTCAGTTTTTCTATCCATCCAATGGGTATGATAATCACTGTTCCCACCTCGCTGGGGTGGGAGATGCTCTCAGGTAGCAAACGTGAAGGCTGTCACTGTGATTGGATAATGACATTGACCAGCACGACCCTCACGTCTGAGGCACCTCCGATGTGCCAGCACCCTCACACCAACAGCCACTCCACAGCATCCTGTGGGCGACAAACTGAGGCAGAGAGGCTGAGGGTTTGCCCAGGTCCCAGCTAATAAACGCCGGAGCTGGGGTCTGGACCCAGCCCATCTGAATTACCGGGCCTTTGTGACACTGCCTGAGCCTCGCCTAACAGGGGAGGAAGCAGGCTCTGAAAATGTTCCAGGAGGTGAGGGACCACTCACCGACCCGCCACCCCCACTCACTCCAGCTGCGTCATGTCCTCCACGCCGTCCTCCCGGCGCTGCTCACGGAACCGTGTGGACGGCAGGTTGCGGATGGAGTGCATCTGGGGGAGACAGACTGTGGTCAGCCAGCCAGAGGGTGCCTGCGCGTGGCCCCCCGGCTTGCACACGGCCAGGACCCACTGCCGTGTGGAGGAGGGAGCCCTGAGGCCGGGCCGGCCGGGTCCTGTGGGCTGTCTGCCTCGGAACACAATGCTTAATTCCCAGGGACACGGCCGGCCTCAGCGCTGCCCGTCTTCCCGAGGGCCCTGCCAGGGGCTGAGCACACGCACGGGGGCACTGCTCCCTCTGCCTGGCCGGAAGGCCTCCCACCTCACGTTCTCCCAGGCTGAACCCCAGGTCTGCCTATGTGACAACTAGGAGAACATCCGCATCTGGTGGGTGCCTGGGGCCTCCGGAAGGACCAGGACTTTCGCGTCTGGCGCCGCACCCCGTGCCCCGTGCCGGGCAAACGCAGACCCACACGCACAGACCCACAGGCAACGGCGCCTGCAGCCCAGGTGCTCCCACATCCACCCGTGGTCTCGCACGGGGCTTGTGGACGTGCACGCCGGCCTGCGGTGCCTGCCTGGAGGCGCACACAAGTGCAGGCACGTGCTCTCAACGTCCCTTGGACAGGTTCTCGTGTGTCAGGTGTCCCCGCACCTGGTGGTCTCGAGACGAAAGTCCCGATGCCCCCTGTGGGCTGCAGGCCCACTACTGTGCCCTGGTAGTGTGTACACTTGACCCCGCAGATACCACGTCTGCCCGGGCCGTGGCGTATGCACTCACATGCTCTCCTCGTTGAGCTGTGGAGCGCCCGAGCACACGTCCCAGGCCCGCACGTGACCCGTGTGACTGTGAGCACCCTTGTGAGCCCGCCTGCCCTGCCTCTCGGGTCCAGCCTACACCCCTCCCTGAGCGGAGAGGAAAGGGGACACCAGGAGGCAGCCCGCGTGCTAAGTAGGGCACAGCGGGTATCACCCCAGAGGCCCTGGCCTCCCGCCCACCCGCCTGCCCATGTGCGCCAGTGGCCGCAAACCCTGAATAATTCAGCCACTCACGTATTCCAGGGTGAGGAGGGCCCACGCATCCTTGCCCCTCACCCCCGGGCGCTTTGTGCCCCGCTCCTGCAACGCTGCGGCCCACACAGCACGGGGCACCCGCCGTTGGGGCCAGGGCCCCCCCAGCAGCCAGGGCGCCCCGGTCGCCATTGATGGGCCCGTTGGCTGCCTGCTCCACAGGGCACCGTCTGCAGAGGCTGAGAAACGCCCGCCACCCCTGCGTGCCCCGCCCACCCCAGGCGTCCCGGGGGAGGCTCCGGTGACCACCCCCCTCCGCTGAGGGCCACCCGGCACCGGGCTCGTGTTCCGCCGCGAGCATGGCAGCCAGGCACGGGCTTGGCACCCCTCAGAAGGGCTGCCTGCCCCACACCCTACGGGGGCGCAGACAGACTCCTGGCTCAGCCGTGATCCACTGTGTGACCTTCTGGGTCTTCTGTGCAGTAAAGAGGCTGGAAGGTTGGTTCCTGAGCCCTCACCTTTGGACAGTCCAGAACCCCGCAGCCCGGGGGACTGCCCTTAGGCAGGAGCCTCAAAGAGACAGAAGACCCAGTTTGGGGGAGGGCCAGCAGCAGGCAGAAGGAACAGCATGAACGTGAATGCGGGGGTGGGACAGGGTGGGTAGGCAGGGTCTGCAGTTTCGTACTCAGCCAAGATCCCTGCGGGGGGGCTTGGAGTGGACATGCCATCCAGATCGGAGGAGGACAGGACTGCTTGGAGCCCAGGCTGGGACAAGATCCCTTTCTCCAAGTGCCTGGGGGCAGTTTCTGGCATCTCTGTCCTCTGCCTGCCTGTGCCGGGCATCCCCTTGTTCAATCCCCCAGAAGCTCTGTGAGGCTGTTCTCCCCAAGCTACAGATGGGAAGACTGAGGCCCAAGCAGGCAGCAGTTCGCCAAGGTCCCAAGACTGTCTCCTGCCCTGTTTCCCAGGATGGAACCATAAGCCCTCCCTCTAACCTGTGCCCCCGTACCTTATTCCACCAGCCTTTGGGGCCAGCCTTCTCCCCTGGGCCCCCATGGGGCAGGCAGGCAGCTCCAGGGCCCAGGCGGCAGGACGGGGGGCGAGCGTGTACTCGTGTGCAGGGTTGATGGGCCTCCGCCGGCAGCCAGAGGCGGGACCAGAGCAGACTCCAGGTTCTCAGCCTGGGCCCGGGCTCTGGCTCCTGGATGGGAGGCTGCAGGGTAGCAGGACAAGCTCGCTGGAAAGAGCTCAGCTTTTGCACACGAGGCATGACCACAGCAAAACGCCCAGGGCTTGCCTGGAGCCATTCACCAGCCTTGGGCAGGGGTCCTGGGGCCCCAGAGGGTGCCAAGGGAGCTGGGGCCCTGGGCAGTGTCCCCCAGCGGCGCCATGGTGGCCACGTGGCCCTCATCTGGTCAGAGGTGGCCAGCGGGTAGGAGAAGCTGGGCCTCAGTGCCTTCCGCTCTGAGGGGGAATCCTGGGGGGGTGTCAGGGTCGGGGGTTCAGGCTCTGCTGGTGGCTGGGGGTCCTCCGGACAGGCCTCTTCAGGCTCCTTGAGGCTCGGGCTGGCCGATTTGGTCAGCTGTCCAGGCCCTGGGTCGTGATGTCTACCCAGGAGGATACCGGTTGAGTCAGAGGCTGGATCTTCAGGCTGGGGAGCAGGGGATAGCCCTGGGCCCACGTGCTGGAGGAAGGGGTCTGGGGGTACAGCGGCTTGCCTGGAGAAGCCACGGAGGCTGCCTGGGCCTCCCGGCCAGGGCGAGGGTGGCCGCTGGGTGTCAGGCATGTCCACGTCCCAGCTGGGGGCCAGCGGGGGCACTGTCCAGAGCGTCTCCGAGTCCTCGGGCTCGCGCTGGCTCTCGCGGTGCTGAGGGGCAGGGGCAGGGGCGGCG